ATAGTCGGGTTTGTAGCTCGGTGTCTTAACTGTCAGCAGGAAATATATGAGCATCAGAGAATGGGTCTATTGCATCAGAGGATAGAGATTCCAGAGTGGAAGTGGGAGCACATCACCATGGATTTCGTATTTGGGCTCCCACGGACTTCGAGGAAGTTCGATGCTATTTGTGTGATTGTGGATCGGCTGACCAAGTCCGCGCACTTCATTCCAGTTGGTACTACTTATTCTTCAAATCGGTTGGCTGAGATATACATCCGAGGGATTGTTTGCATTCACGGTGTGCTAGTGTCCATCATTTAAGATCGAGGCATGCTATTTACATCGCAGTTTTAGAGAGTCATGCAGCGAGAGTTGGGAACCCAGGTTGAGTTGAGTACACCATTTCATCATCAGACGAACGGAAAGTCCGAGCGCACTATTCAAATATTGGAGGACATGCTACGTGCTTGTGTCATTGATTTCGGGTGTTCATGGGGCCAGTTTCTGCCGCTCGCGGAGTTTGTTTACAACAACAACTATCAGTTAAGCATTCAGATGGCTCCATATAAGGATTTGTGTGGGAGACGGTGTAGATCTCCGATGGGTTAGTTTGAACCGGGTGAGACTAGACTATTGGATACAAACTTGGTTCAGGATGCATTCGACAAGGTTAAATTGATCCAGGAGCGGCTTCGCATGGCAAAGTCTAGGTAGAAGAGCTATGCTGACCGAAAAGTACGTGATGTTTCTAACATGGTTAGGGAGAAGGTTCTGCTGAGGGTTTCACCCATGAAGGATGTTATGAGGTTCGGTAAGAATGGCAAGTTGAGCCCTCGGTTTATTGGGCCATTTGAGGTACTTCAGAGGATTGAAGAGGTGGCTTACAAGCTCTCCTTGCCACCTATTTTGTCGAGTGTGCATCCAGTATTTCATGTTTTTATGCTAAGGAAGTATGTCGGCGATCCGTCTCATGTTGTGGATTTCAGCACAGTTCAGTTGGATAGTGATATGACTTATGATGTGGAGCCGGTGGCCATTTTGGATTGGCAGGTTCGAAAGTTGAGGTCAAAGGATATACCTTCAGTGAAGGTGTAATGGAGAGGTCATCCCGTGGAGAACGCTACTTGGGAGACCGAGCGGGATATGTAGAGCAGATATCCACACCTATTTATGACTCTATGAATGTTTTTAGACTTGTTCGAGGATAAACATTTGTTTAAGGGGGGATGTAACGACCCGACCGGTCGTTTCAAAAGTTGTAGCCCCATTCCCCTATTAACTTCTCCAGTTTTGCTGTACAGTTGTTATGTGACTTATCGGGTTAGTTGGTTCTGGTCCGGAGAAATTTCAAAGTGAAATGAGACACTTTGTCTCATAATGGAATGCCCAAGTTAGAAAAGTTGACCGGATGTTGAATTATGTGTAAACGACCCCGGAATAGAGTTTTGATTCCTATGTTAGGTGATTTTGGATTTAGGAACGTGTCTAGATTGTGATTTGGAGGTGCGTAGTAGAATTAGGCTTGAAATGGCGAAAATTTAATTTTTGGGAAGTTTAACCCGGATCAGACTTTTTGATATCGGAGTCGGATTGAGATTTCGGAACTTGGAATAGGTTCGTGGTTTCATTTGTGACTTGTGGGAAAAATTTGAGGTCAATCAGACATGATTTGATAGGTATTGGCGTCGTTTGTAGAATTTGGAAATTTCAAATTAGGGTGCGATTCATATTTTTGATGTTGTTTGAGGTGGTTTGAACACTCGACTAAGTTCGTATCATATTTTGGGACATGTTAGTATGTTTGGTTGAGGTCTCGGGGGCCTCCGGTTGATTTCGGGTGGTTAACGGACTTGGAATTTAGTTTAAGAAGCAGCTGATGTTTTTCTTCTAATGGTATCATTGCACCTGCGAGGGTCTTGGTCGCAGGTGCGAGGCCACAGGTGGAGCGCAGGTGCGAAGTTGAAGGGAATCAATAGAGGTCGCATGTGCGATGAGTTTTCTGCACCTGCGATTGCATAAAAGCGGAGGTAGTTGGGATTAATGACTTCCGCAGTAGCGGAGTTTTCACCACAAAAGCGTATTCTTGGACCGCAGTTGCGGTTTCACTGGGCAAACATATAAATGCTAGGATTCACGATTTTGGCTTCATTTTAACATTTTGAAGTCGGAATTGGGCGAATTTTTTAGAGAGATTTCGAAGGGATTCTTGAGGTAAGTCACTTGTGGTTAACCTTTTTCAATAATTATGTTCCCCCCATTGATTTTTCCACCTAGTTGGTGTATTTTAGAGGTGTAATCTAGTTCTGAGCATATGAAACCTCGGATTATGTTTATGTGATTATTTCCGAGGTGATGCACATGCTATGTGACAGGCGTGTGGGCGTGCACCGTAGGAATTGTGACTTGGTCCATTCCGTGGAACAGTAAAGTTGAATAACTTATTGTTAGCTATATGCTCTCCATGTGTAATAGAAATTTGAATGTAAATCATGTTTAGGCTATATGTTGGTACTGTAGGGGCCCATAAATGCAGTGGTACCTGTTGAATTTCCTGCTAATTGCTACTTGTACTCAGTCATAGTTTTACTTTCATATCATACCTCAGTCTCTGTTATTCCTTATCTATACGTTATATTATTTCCGTTTTGGGCTTATTTCCATTATTTCAGAGAGCCCGTGAGACTAGAGAGGATGATGACTGAGTGAGGCCGAGGGCCTAATTTTAAGATATTGATACCATAGCACGTGAGTTGTCCGTGCAGATCTAGATATTTATACTGTAGCACGTGAGTTGTCCGTGCAGATATTGATATGATACTGTAGCACGTGAGTTGTCCGTACGGATATAACGCTTGGGGTGTAGGAGCCCCTCCTGAGTCTGTACATCCCCAGTGAGCACATGTACCTACTGAGTATGAGGGTTGAGTGCTGAACTATTGAGAATGATTGAGTGGTTGGTGCTCTAAGAGAATGCTCTTAACTTCATTATTGTTGCACTTAGCTGCTATATGTCACTGCTTTGAAACATCTCAGAGATTTATATCCAGTTTTTACTGGAACTTGGCATGTACAAATTGATTTGACTTAAATTATCGGATTTGAAAGCATGTTTACTTTCTTTATTGAGAGTACTTAAATTGAACTATAATTGTGTAGCTCGTCACTATCTTCTAGTTCTTTATTTGGTATTGTTACTTACTGAGTCGGTTGTACTCACGCTACACCCTCCACTTCGTGTGCAGATCCAGGTGTTTCTGGACACGTTGGGTGTTGATATTTCATACAGCTGATCGTTGGAGACTTCGAGGTAGCTGCCTAGCGTTCGCAGCCCTTGTTTCTCCTTCCTTGTCTTTTCTTTTATTGTATTTGACCCAAACTTTCATAGACATTTCTTCTCTAGACTGGTGATGTACTCATGACCTTAGTGACACCCCGATTTGGGAGTTGTTTTCTGCATTTGTATTTTCGGTTTTTACCCCGTTTATGAGAATTTTGTCTTTTAAAACCTCCTTTTATTCATCTTCTCTTAAATTTTGAAAATTTTGGCTTGCCTAATATTATGATAGGCGCCATCATAACAGGTTAGGATTTGGGTCGTGACAATATGTTAAGATCTATTAAATTCGTATATCTTTTTTCGAATTTGAAGTGGTATTTCAATAATTTAAAATTAAATAGAAAATAATTTAGGTATCATATTAATTTTTAAGTTTAGTTATTAAATCTGGTTAACCTTGAATGTGTACATTAAGAAAAATTTATTGTGAGATGTTAAAAAAATAACTATTATATATTACTGAGAAAATTCTACCATAAAACTATTTTAATAGATCATATGTTTATTATTTTTTTAATATTTACTAGATATATATTTACATATAAAAAATATAACAAAATAAGATGAAATAAAAATATAACAAAAAAATACTGAAAATCCGACAAAGCCGAACCAATCCAAACCGATATAGTTGGTTTGATTTTAATAGAAACCAAACCAATCCGGTCCATATACACCCCTAACTAAATAGTAAGGTTTCCATTACTAAATTATACTTATATTTTCGTGGCCTGACAAATTGTTTTTCACGACCACTTTGTTCCCAACTCAATCTTTGTCACTCTAACAAAAAGAACTAATAATATCTCTCCTAGATTAATTTAAAAAATACAGCTATAGTGATAAAATAAAATATGTACCTTGCTATCATGGTTGAGTTGTAACTTACAAGAATATTTCACTCTTTCTAACACTCTAAGTTCATGCCACCAACGGTTCAAGAGAATCCCTGTCACTGCCGAAAAGCCCTCTACATTGTAGTGAATTTATCTTGGTTATCTAAATTTAATTATTCACTTAGTATTTGTTACTTCAGTTTTCTCCCTTCTAGGTCTTGCATGTAAGTAGACTGATGGGCTTGGCCCACTCTATTATTACATAGTAATTATTAAATTGTCATTTGACTAGTCATCATTAATTGGACCATCAACCAAGTATTGGTTCTAGGTACTTCATACCTATGCAAATAACAATTCCAATTAAAACAATATATGTACATGCATATTAATACCTATGAAAATTAAAAAAATTATAACTACCAAAATAACTTTAAAGTTCACTCTTAAGTTGTCGGGTTATTACATGACCGAACACAATTTGTTTATCAAATAGTTTAAAAAATAATTTGCCAAACATAAATTATTTTTCTCCAAAACTACTTATGAAATACTATATATGTTGATAAAATACTTTTCAAAGTAAGTAACTTTTAGAACTAAGGGATGGGCTGCTATTGATTATTGAAGTTTACAAAAATTGTATGTAGTTATAGCCGGAGTGACCACCGATATTTCATATAGCAATGAACAAGTGGATTAGGGCTTTTAAAATTTCAATTAGTTCATTCAAATATATATGTAGTAGTATTATAATACACTTTCACAACAAGTGGATTAAGGGTTTTGAAATTTCAGCCGATGATATTTACTATAAATTTGTCGTGCACACACCATAATTGTGCAACACAATTTCTTACAACAATAACTATCACATATCAAAATAACTGCCATGGCTTCAACGAATATTTTCTTGATTTTCCTTTTGGCTGCATTAATCGTAACCCCCGTTGTTGTTGCCCAACTTGTTTCAATTCGTATAAGTGGGGTTGTACTTTGCAGCGTTAACGGCAATTTAGATGTCATCAACGGACTCACCCCCCAAGTTTTTTCTAGTAAGTTTTTTTATTTTGTACGTAGACCTATTATATATATATATATATATACCAAAAGGGAACTCTCCCAAATCGAATAATAAATTAGCTCTATATATACACTAAATCATATGATAGATGTCGTAAGTGGCATTATTAACCTATGATATATGAGTATATATATACACTGTCAGATGATCCAAGAGATAACTACAAGTAAACTTTCTTAATATTTAGGCAGATTTAATGATTTGAAGTCTAAGAGAAATAACACTACATCTATTATTCCTTTCATAACAATGGGTGAGGATGGTATAAATATAGAGTAACATGAGGCGAATGAATCCTACACTCGCAGTCATAAGATGCATATGGCCCGATCATAAGAAGTTTCAGCATGTTGAACTGTATGATCATTTCATTTAAAAGTTTAAAAAGTGTGAGATAATATCTTTTTATTTACATAATTAAGTTTATTTCCAACATATTTGCTAAAATGCTAAGTTGACCTAATTGCGTAAATAACATTAACATCATTTAACATTGCAGATGCATCGGTGCAATTACGGTGTGGAACAAGAAATGTTGTATCAAGTACAATAACAAATGGATCGGGAGTATTTTCCTTGGTGGTGGATCCTCGTGTAAATACTTTGCTATTGCTATTGTTGAACTGTCGTTTAGTAGTTGTAACTCCACTCTCAACATGTAACGCGAGCTTACCATCTGTTGGGCTTTTGGTGTCATCCTTGAACCTTGTAAATATCAGTAATGGCGGTGTCGGCGGTCTTACTAATATCGGTTTAGGTCCTACTGGTTTTATACTTAATCGTAACCTCATTTTATAGTGAACGAGCTAGCCTGCTAGTGCTTAATTAGTACTACTACTATGCATCAGCTAGTTAACCTTCCTGGCCAGCTGTTTACTGCATGAATAAGGACAGTTGTTTCCACTAGTGAATAAAGTGCAAATAATATTTGCAAGTCTTATATTGGAGCCATCTAATCGTATTGCGTGTGTTTTTATTTAGTTTATAGCTTTGTCTTGTTTATTACCCTTTCTTATATTTTATTTCATACATGCGGAAATGACTATAGAATGAGCTTCAACCTAACGACTCTACATAATAAGGACACATGAAATAAGAATGAAGGGACATAAAAAGAGAAAATAACAAAAACGGGATAAGATAAAATTAAGGAAGAGACTGTAAGATGATAATGTAGGTCAAACGATAAGATTATAAATACTAATAAAAATAACGAATAAAATAAAAATAATATCTTATTCAAAGTCATATAATGATGAGACCCAATAAAGTATTTGACAAGGTATAATACCCCAAATAGGGTTATCATGCTTGGTGGGATTAATGAGAAAGAAGATATATATTATTATTCTATTAATAATATCTCTATGGAAGGAAAAATGAAAGTTTATCTCACGACCCAAATATCAATCTGTCGTGATGGCGCCTATCACATTACTAAGTAAGCCAAAAATAACATAATAACTACGCATTTTGAATTAAAAACCTGATTTAATAGGTCAAACAGTGAAAAGTGTCATAAATAACTAATAAAAACAACTACAACTCAACTACAATAATCCTAAAATCCTAGTGTCACCAAGCACATGAGCTACTAATGTCAACATAGTCTAAAACTCTAGTACAATTGTGAGAGAATATAGAATAGTACTGATATAATATGAAAGAAAGGAGAGTCAAGGTTTGCGGACATCATCACAACTACATCGAGGTCTACGAACAGGTACTATCACCATCCAAGCAATCACCGCATCCATATGTACTTTGATTTGCACACAAAGTGTAGAGTGTTGTGTGAGTACAACCGATCCAATATACTCAATAAGTAACAGGACTAACTTTGGGCTGAAAGCAGTGACGAGCTCAGAATGATAGCGTCCAAATCAAATTGACGACAACACGTATATAACAATATAATCACAGTACTAACTCAGAGAAGTTCCATATTTAACTTGTACATGGTACGAAAATTTAGGCATGCTTTCAAGTTCAACAATATAAGCTCAGAACTAATAACATATGCCAAGTACAACTATTCTGAGAAATGTTACATCTCTATGCCTACATGTAAAATATGCAAGTCGAATGCAATGTATCACAGTGATAATCTCAGGCATTTACACTCTAAGAGTGCTCAATCTTTCTATCTCAAACTTCTACTCATCACACTTGGCATAAATAATTATCAAAATACTAAAAACAAAGCTGAATATCTGATATAAACTTCCAAAATTAGAATCCACAACAATACACTCCCCAAGATAGGTGGAACTAAGTCATAAGCTCAGTAGAGTGAAACTAGAATGTATACTACATCACTATCTAAAAGCTAATACATAGTAATTAAGGATAAGGGAAGGTGAATCTAAGGCTTGCGGACACCGAGAAGGCATACTTTGTGTAATGACCCAGCCGGTCGTGTTGAGTATTTTCCCCCCAATTCCCTATTTATTGCCTTCTCTATGTTGTATTGCTGTTATATGACTTTTTGGGGTAGCTGGTTTTTGTTTCGAGCGAGTGTCGGAGTGAAATGGGATACATAGTCCCTTCGTTGGAAGTTTAAGTTGAAGGACTTGACCGTGGTTTGACTTTTGTGCAAACAACTCAAAAATATAGTTTTGACGATTTCAATAGTTCCATATGATGATTTTTGACTTAAGATCATGTACAAATATTGATTTGGAGGTCCGTAGGTTATTTCAGCTTGAATATTCAAAAGTTAGAAAGTTGAAGGTTTGGAAGGCTGAGAAATTTTACCAGGAGTTGACTTTATTTATATCTGGGCCGAATTCCGATTACCGAAGTTATAATAGACCCGTCAAGTCATTTATGACTTGTGTTCGAAATTTGAAGTCAATCTGAGTTATTTTCATATGATTCGACGTTAGTTTTGGAAGTCGGATATTCATAGTTTCAATAACCTTGAATTGGATTGTGATTCATAAAATCGATGTTGTTTGATGCGATTTTTGGCCTTGAGTAGGTCCGTTATGTGTTATGGAACTTGTTCGTATATTCGGACATGTTCCGAGGGTCCTGGGTGCGAGTAAGATTGAAATCAGATCATTTCTGGACTTGATTAAATTGTTCAAGCTGTTGGTTTTCTGTTGGGGTTTCCTTCTACGCGTTTGCGAAAGTTCTCTCGTGATCACGTAGAGTCATCAGCAACTACAGGGATTTTTCTCTTCGCGTTCGCGAAGGTAAGGGTACGATCGCGATGTTTGCTGAGCTTGTTAATCGTGACCCCGTGAGGTATATCGCATTCGCGTATAAGGAAGGTGAGGTTGGGGCTGAGGCACGCTTTTCATCACATAGGATGCAGTCGTGTGTGTGGAGGAAGCTTTTCATCACGTTCGCGATTGGCTTCACGTGATTGCATAGAGTGTTTTATTGATCTGGGGAGAATTGTTCTACACGATCGCGAGTCGTTGTCCGCGATCGCGATAAAGGACGACTGGGCAGCAGTATTCGAATTTCAAAATGAGGGTTTCATCTTGTTATTATTTTTTGGACCTAGAGAGCTCGATTTATTTTGGTTGTATAATTAGTGATTTGAGTTAAAAAAATTGGAGGAAAAATCGTGAAACTTTTTAAACAAAATTTTGAGATTGAAGTCGAATTTGAGTAATTATTGTATGGTTGGACTCATTATCGAATGCATGTTCATATTTTTATAATTTTGGTCGAGTTTCGATACGCGAGCCAAGGGTTGACTTTTTCAGTTGACTTTTTGTTTCTCTTTAAAGATTGAAACTTTATTGTTTGGAATAGGTTCATATAGTTTGTATTTATGGTATGAAGTTGTTTTGGATAGATTCGAGCCATTCGGAGTTGGATAATCTAGGGAAACGCTTACTAGTGGATTGAGTTAGCATGTTTTGAGGTAAGTATCTTGACTAACGTTGTGTGGGAAAATACCCCATAGAATTGGTGTTGTTTTGTGCTATTGTGATATGTGGAAGCCGTGTATACAAGGTGACGAGTACGTACACGTGCTAAATGTGCTAATTGACCAGGTTTAGCTATGTATATTCATTTCATGTTTTTAATTGAGTTGCCATAATATGTTATAATCATCACCATTAGTCTATCTTCGCATGCTTTACTTGATATCGTTAATACTTGTCTTACCACTTACTTGCTAATTGTCTTTGCATGCTTAGTTCAAGTTATTGATCTCTATATTCCTTATTTATTAATTAACTGTTGAGTTCCTTATTTGTAGTTGATATTTCATGGAATATCTTATTGTTGAATTTGGTATTGAGTTATAAAGGTCGTGATTAACATTGAGGCAAAGTGGTAAATTTGTTGAAATACTATTCTTGTGAGTCATTCACTTTCAGTTGTTGTTGTTGAGACTCTTGTACATATTGTGGTAACCATGGGCTATTTATTGTGGAAATACTATTATATTTTACTTCTTTGGCAAGTTGTGATATTGAGCACTTGAGGTGCGATTTGTGATACATTGTGATATTGATATGCATGTGGTGGTTTAAGGATTGGGGGTTGAAATGCATGCGGTATGATGAGGTGGATTGATACGCGTGTTTTTGGTAGGAGAACTACTTGAAGCCACGCGATGTGTTAAGGTTGACTAAAACACGGGAAGCTATTTTGCGGAAAAACTAATTTTTAAACTACATCCAAAGCTCCCACGGAGATATAAAGAAAGATTGTAATTTGATTTGTGAAATGCAACAACGAGGCGATACCTCGGTAGTGATTCTTCTCTATGACATGATTTGTGTTTTTGTTGCTTTGTTTCCTTGGCATGTTATTCCTTGTTTTCTTCCGTGATGCCTTATTTGCCTTATTTTAGTGTAGCTATTTTTGTACATTTCTTCATTTGTTTCATTTCCACTGTTTATCATTATCACATTGTCATATACATGTTTAGTTTTCTTATTTATTCCAGTAGGGCCTTGACTTTACCCCATCACTACTATATTGAGATTAGGCTTGGCACTTACTGAGTACCGTTGTGGTGTACACATGTTACGCATTTGTAAATCTTTTTGTGCATTTCCAGGTAACAGCCTAGGCACCAGTGAGTCAAGCTCAGATTTGGAGACATCAAGGTATACCTGCCGGCATCCACAGGCCTCAGAGTCACCCTCTATGAAGTTATATTCCATTTTCCTTTCTTTATAGATATTGTTGTATATGGATATTTAGTAAACTCTTGTAGAGCGTGTGACTTCATCTCACCGGTTTTGGGGAGTTTTATTTTGTTGAGTTGCATAGTTCTTTTATGATAGTTGTTGAGTTGTTTGGAAGTTTTTATCATTCTCTCAGTTAAATTCTACATGTATGTTAGGCTTACCAAATCTTAGAGACTATGTGTCATCACGACACCGTATGGAGGGAAATTATGGTTGTGACAAGTTGGTATCAGGGTTGTAGGTTCATAGGTTTTACGAGTCACAAGCAGGTTTAGTAGAGGCTCGCAGAGCGGTAAAGAGACTTCTGTACTTATCTTCAAGAGGCTATAGAACTGTTAGAAAACTTCACATCATTGATTCCTTATCGTGCGAATTAGTTGACTTCAAATTCTGAATCGTTGTTTTTCTATTCACTTACAGATGGTGAGGATACACATCGCTAGATCTAATTACCAGACACCCGCACTCCCTACTAGAGCTGCGAGAGGCCAGGTCCAGGGGAGAGGTCGAGGAGGGGCACGTGGTGGAGCCAGAGCACCTGCCCGAGCTGCGACAAAGGGGCCTCCAGTAGCTCCAGTTTGGGGGGCAGGCACATAATGCGACAGTTGCTACAACTAAACTTCAAGAGACTCTCATCTAGTTCTTGAGCAGGTTTGGTACTCTAGCTAAGACAGGGTTGATCCCACTTGAACCGCCAACATCTCAGGCTAGGGGATGAGCACAAACTCCCGTAGCCCATACCCTAGAGCAGCGGGTGCATGTTGACCAAGTCCCAATGGTTAT